GTTCTCTTATGTGTCAACAATGTCTGCCTCTTAAGGACCGCAGCTATTTTAAAAGTTCTGAACTTTTTTAAATTTAATTTAATTGACGCATGTGTACGTAAACAGCGCTTTTTTCTAATATCGACTATAACATTTGTTTTTCAAAAAAATCTATACATATGTGCATATAGTTTTAAATTTATACGCAAAAGAAAAAATGTTGTTCTTCAATCAGAAAACATTTCTTTGGATGACGAGACCAATTTTTAAAAGACGCTATTCGATGATCTTGACCAACTACGTTCTTCTTGGCCCCAAATACTCCAAGAAGCGAAATTTGTTGCATCTGGGTTAGCTTCGTTTGAGTTTCAAAATGATTTTGTTAAGAAGAGGACAAGGAAAAGGAAAACATTTCACGGCGAGTCGATGAACACAGCGCATTATCACGAAGACGAATCAGAGAGTTTTGAGGGGAATGTATTTAATGTTGCTCTTGACACGCTGCACCAACAGATAAGATACAGAATGGATACAGCTCAAAAGACGACGGATATGTTTTTGTTCATATGGTGTTCTCCATTTCCTTCTAGTGATAAAGAAAAAATTAGTCAGAAAGAAAAATGTAAAGTCATGACTAATCTCGACGTAAATGATGTAAAAGAAGAGAAATTGATTGAAGAAATCTGTCATCTAGATGTTCTGGAGCAATCAAATACATTTGGACAAATAGAATCTCTTTGATGAGTGGCTTTATAATTTTGTAATTGATAATATGAGTGATTCTTTATACTAATATTGTGACACTGATTAACGGGTGGTTACTAAAAATCCGGACAAACTTTAACTGAATTTTAAATGCCACAAGCTAAATCTTTTTTATTCATGTTTATATCCATTTTATAGCTTATTTAATTCTCTATAAGTTATTTTTTTTTTTTTTAGATAATTAATAGTAATTAAAAAAATAATGATGACCAAGCAAGAAGAGGTAAGAAAACGGATTTACGAGTTCTATTTGAATAATAAATTGCAAGGTAAAAAGTTCACAGTAGCTCACTTCAATGCTGAAAAAATCCAGAGAAGCACTATCTATGATATAATCAAACGTGTTGAGAATGATTCTGGGCACAAAAGAGTGCAAGGAAGTGGTCGTGTGGCCAAAATCATGACCCCTAAAAGGATCAAGCGCCTGAAAGCCATATTTGATCACAGTGACCGAGTTTCGATGAGGCAAGCTGGTCGAAAATTTGGATGCAGTCATTCACATATCATTAAAACTCTTGCCAAGTACACTGACATCAAAAGTTATACAAAACAAGGTATACCTCATTGACAAGAGAACCAGAATGAGCGAATCAAAACTGGCATTGATCGTCTTTATCGCATTTTTAAAGGAAAATCGGTATCCTTGACGATGAGTCTTACTTCACGCTGTCACACTCAACAATAATGGAAACAGCACCTACTACTCTAGCAACAGAGACAAGACTCCACCAAGTGTTAAATATCGCAAAAAGCGCAAGTTCGAACCCAAGGTGCTTGTCTGGCTGGCCGCTTCTGACAAAGGTGTTTCAAAACCATTTTTTATACCCAGCGGCCATGCAGTCAATAAAGCCATCTATGAAATGAATTGTATTAGGAAAAAATTAGTGCCGTTCATCAACGCTTATCATGCCGATGGTAATTACATATTTTGGCCGGACCTGGCTTCATCGCATTATGCCAAAACCGTGACCAGCTGCTACGAGACTCATAACATCAATTTTATCAAAAAAGTTGACAATCCGCCAGCCGTACCGGAGTGTCGCCCAATCGAAGATTTTTGGGCTATTTTGAAAGGCAAAGTGTATGAGAGTAACTGGCAATCAAAAGACGTGAAACAACTACAAACCAGAATAAAGCTTTGCCTGAAAAAAATTGACCTTAACCTTGTATTTTCACTTTTTGGGTCAACTCGTGTTAGAGTTAGCCGAATCCGAAGAAACAGACTGGTTGAAGACAAACTTAATTAAAATAAATAAATAACTAAAAACTCTTTTTAATGATAGTTTTATTTAATCTCTACCATAAAAACTTTGTGAGTAATTGCACTTGAAAGTTTGTCCGGATTTTTAGTAACCACCCGTTATTGCTAAGACAAATAAATTTAAATTCAATTTTGATTTATTCAAATAACTTTAAATTTAAATCAAAATTAAATTTAAAGTTATTTGTCTTAGCGATAATCAGTGTCACAATATTACTATTTTAAACATTCAACACGGTCGTTTAGATGTGGAAAGTTATTATACGCAAGCGCAGTGTCAAATTCAAATATTATAGTTTTAAAGATGGTGACGGCCTTTAGATACCAAAATTTTTTCTGAGTAGCAACAATATTTTTATAGTTTTACTTAGTAGTTATTATTTGCATATTTTTGATAGAATAAAATAATAATAAAGATAATTGAATTGTTGATTTAAAAATGATAAAAACAATATAAAGATGTTTAAATATATAAAAAACTGTGATTCTCTGCTACATTTATCTGACTGTTAAAAGCGTGATTTGTTTACATTTTCAAAACTGTTTTTCTAAAAATCTGAGCGATACAATTTACGAAGTGTCTTTGTAGAGCGCAATTCGCTTTATCTAGCCATAAGCTGCTCAGAGCGCAATATTGTACACGCATGCGCAAGTATTTTATAATAAGAGAGCGATTTATATTTCACAATAAAGCTGGTTGGATCAAATAAAGCTAGTTGGCAGTTGAATCAAAATCGAAAATTATTTACTAAAGAAACATTTTGTGCAATTTTTAAAGTAAATGTTTTATATTAGAACATTCTATTTCCATCAAAATACAACAACAGCATTTATTTGGAGAGTCATTAATTTTATCAGTTTAATGCAGCGTTTATTTTATTGAAATGTTTTAGATAAGTTCTAAGCAATCCATTATGGCTTGCCAGCATCTATCTAAAATAATCATGAATGAATGAATTTAAAAGTAATTGTTTTTTGAGCAATTTATTGAGAAAAAATTCTAGTTCATGTGCATAAATAAACTATGGTAACTTATAAGGTAACTTTTTTCGTTTATAGTTTTCTCTAGATTACATGATAGATATCTAGATGCAATTTTATATGTGTTCTTGTTTTTATTAAGCTAAAGTAGTTAATTTAGATTGTTCACTATTTATTACTATAAACTATCTGTATTAACTATATAAGAGAAAAACTTGTGTATTAATAATATTTTTTATATTATAAAGTATATAAAACCTCACAAACCATAACCAAAAATGGGTTCAACTAACTTAATTATTAGAGTAAATTTTTTATTTATTTTTTGTTTTGAAATAAACATAAATTCACTATTTTTGAAAATAATAATAACAGTAAGACTTTTCAAAGAAAAAAACAAGATAATGAGCCATGTCTTGACAGACCAAATTTGATTACCAATGATACAATTTCAGGAAATATTACATTTGGTAATATTTTTTGAAATTATATTAAAAAAGTTCCTTCCATACATCAAATAATTATTCAAAGTTATAATTTTGAGAACACACCAACTGAATCTTCTGTTGGTTGAACCTTTTTACTTGGTATTTTACCATGAATCTGATAAAGTCAACAACAACAAAAAGCTATTTATTTTCCATTTTAAAATTATTTTTACAATAATAAGGTAAATAATAATAACAATAATTATAAAATAATAAGCAATAGGAAAAATTTATAACAATAATAGTAATAATAACAAAATAAAATTATAAATAATAATAATTACTATAATAATAAGTAAAATAATATGTTATTTCTTATTATAATAAGTTAATGATTATTATGGATGGTGTCACTCATACAGAAGTCTGATCCAATTAGTGACACCATTTTTCAAAATAATATGACAAATAATAAACATAAAGACATAAAACACACATAAAGTAAACTTTTTAAAAACCATATGTGTAGGTAATAATAAAAGAGAAAAAAAGACAGAAGAGATGATATTAATTTTGAGATGATATTAATTTGTTATCATGATAGTTGCCAGTTTGACCCCAAATTTAATAACAATAACTAAGCATACCATTTGCATGATAAAGTTTTTTGCGCAGCTCATCAATATGGAAGTTCCACGAAAGATTGCAATCAATTAACAAACCAAGATATTTAATAACTCTCGTGGGATATAGTTGTTTATTATTATATTTGATTTTAATTAGTTTAGTCTTTTCGGTGTTAAGACATATTAGGTTGGCATTTAACCAATGAACTATACCTTTAAGATCTGAATTTATATTTTTACATAGAGAATAGTATGATTTGTTGACATGCAAGAGATTGGTATCATAGATGAACCAACAAGAAGTAAACAGAGTTATTTAGATCATTAATGTAAATTAAAAACAATAGATGACCAAGAACAGAACCTTGAGGAAATTATTTGTGATATAAATTAAGATCAAAGTATAAATTATAACCACACAGTATGGCAACCATATGTTGTTAGCGATATCTAAAATTAAAATAAGCGAAACTTTAAATTTAATGTTTATAGTTCCACAATTGTGTGGTTTAGATAATACTACATTGAACAATTTTTTAAATAATGGGAAATTTAAAGTAAACATTTACAATTGAATACAATGGAAGATTTTGAAATTCAAACTATTCTTGACTACATAATCAGTTTATTTTAAAAATGCGGTATGAGCAACTTTGTTTTAAAGTACCACTTTAAATATTGTTAACTTTACAAAATAATTTTTATGCAATTTGCAATTTATTATTTTTTAGCAAATTTACAATAATAAATTTTATTTTAAGTTGTTTGTATTTAAAGTTACTTGTTATTATTAGTTATTTCTTACTTTTTACTTATACCACATCTTGAAAATAAACTCTTCACATGAAAATGAGGATTATATATAAGGGTTTTACTTCTAAACTTTAATGAAACTTTATTGAAAAATGTTATAAAAAAACACAAAGAAAAAGCATTGTTATTATCAATTTATTTAATTATTTAACTAATGCAAAATAAACATAAATGTAAATCATGCTTATCTCCTAAGCACACATCATGAAAATATCTCACACATTTGGTGCATTTCAACCATTTTGTTTTGAATCTTTTCCCTAAATTCTTATCAGGATGACACTTTTTGCAGTAGCAGCATTTCCTTTTTACTGTTTTCTTAGTTAACCCTAATGCTGTTTGGCCAGAACCTCTAGGCCTGCCTCTTTTAGCAACTTTAAGTGGTGGTTTAATAAGTTTTAACCTTTGGACATCTAAAGATTCATTTATCTGTTCTTGTTGATACATACTTTCAGTCGTAAAATCAATATGATCATCCTGTACTCCAGTGACTTCATCTTTTACATTGTCATCAATAAATGGACTTTGATTATTTTTGACAAAGAAATCAATATGTTGATATTCATTCATAATTGTAATTTTATTAGAAGATTCCATAGGTTCATTGTTTACTGAACTACTGGAACTACCAGGACCCACTACAAAGTTTTCGGATGAGATAGAGGTTCTCTTACTATCTGATACTTGTTGATCTTCAAAGAAAATTTCAAATCTTTTTCCATAACTAACCATCTCTTCAAATTTATCTAACTGCTTTAGATAATACTGGAACGTTTCTGTACCTAATTCAACCAATTTGTTTACTAGCTTATCAGAGCAAACCTTGATAAGTTTATATTTCTGAATTTTGTCTAGTGCTGGAGTTCTCCAATTAGAATTCTCTACTTTGGCATTTTCATATGGAATAGGTGAGCCTTCAAAATAATTATTCACAACATGCCATCTTGGAATAAACCAATCTAAACTTAACTTTTCATTACCCAAATATTGGGAAACTGCAATAAGATGACGACAGGGCAAACACATATTCATAAAAAATTTACAATTGCACAACTTTTCACTCACTATATATGTGTTGTCACCAACAATCACATTGTGAGTATTGTTAGATGGCAAAATTAAATCATAATGAGTACTTTTTACAAGCTCAAGCGATACATGTTTTATAGCATATGGTGTAATTATGTTGTGAAGGTAGGACAACTCGGAAAAGTATTTTTTTGTTAAACTTTTAAATTGCTTAAATTTGCACTCCTCTAAAAACATGTCATTTAAAAAAAATATTTTTTCAAGACACTGATGTAAATCTATTGGGTGAGTTATTACACTTTTCAATTTCTGATGATAAGATTCGATTCTATTATTAGTGGTGTCGCCAAAGTTTAAATGTGTTGCTCGTTTATAAAAAACCCAACGATCACGCATATGATCCCAATTATTTAAAAAGTATTCTGCAAAGCACTCATTAAGAGACAAAAGCAACTGTTTCTGTTTTTCATATATTGACTGATCTCTTGAATGACAAAGTGTATCCAGATATACAGAAATTTTTCTTTTAACATCAATGGTACATGATAAGTCTGCAACCTTTTTCTTGAAAGCTTTTTTAACATGAAACAAACAAATTTCACAAAAACTATTAGGAAAATTTTGCTCCAGTCTTGTTAACTCACTCATATCTTTGTCTATCATAAATGTTTTAATGGAATTCCAAGAAGCATTATAAGCTTTAAAGGTTTTAAAAATTTGACTTAACATCACTTCTGACTCATTAGCAATTAAAGCAAAAGCAATTACGTGGGAAAAACCATTCCCATCCATGCATAAAAATGATACCAGTGGCATACCACTGTTGTTGAGACAGTAGGTAGTATCAATACAAATGTGCTCAGGGAACTTACTAAATATGGATCTCATTACACTAGTTTGAACAAATAAATACTGAAGAGTATTATCATCTGACATACCATATTGTGATACCAGTCCAAGATCACTCTCTCTTCTTTTCTCAACTACTTTCACTAGCAGTTCTGCAACATTTAAAACATTTCTTGAAGATGGGCATATTTTTTCCTACGATGAAAGATATTTACTTTATTGAAAAAGAATTTTACATATATATATATATATATATATATATATATATATATATATATATATATATATATATATATATATATATATATATATATATATATATATATATATATATATATATATATATATATATATATATATATATATATAAACATACATTTATTTAATTATGAAAATAACAATTTATGCAATGAAATAATAGTTTTTACTTTTTGACGAATTTTATCCTTAATGTTCCAAATGTCCTTATTTACTATGGATTTTCCTGTACTCTTTCTCATTTCATCAGCAATTACTTTAGTAGTAACACCAAGACGACTCAGTTCTTTAACTTTGGCCTTCTCTTCATTTGATAGCTTTCTATTTTGGACATAGTGTTTGTAAAGATCTTGTTCTGTAAAGCAAAATAATTTATTTAATCAAGTTGTATGATACTAAAAATTACTTTTTCATAATTCATTTAAATATGTAACTTTAAGGTTTTTAAAAAAAAGCTTTTCACAGCATACTTTTCTTTCACAGCAGTCTTTCATTGCACAACATTTTATTTATTCATTCTATTTAAGTGATTTTAAAAAAAATTTAAATTAAAGTTTTTTGTAAATTAAACAGTACATCGTGAAAAGCTGAACTTTAATAACAGATTTACAAAACTAAATATATAAAAAATGATAAAGTAACATTCATTTCAAATTTTAAATATTTTACCAATATTAGATAAATATTTTTACCAATAACATGATTGTGCGTTTCTATCATTTGTTTAATAATTATTTTTGTTCTATCTTTTGTTAAAGCAGCATAAATTTTAGCTGGACAGTTATTTTTTGCTGATCTAAAATGACAACAACTAAATTCAAAGAGCATTTGAGCATTTGAACAAAAGTTTTTTCAAATGCTCAAATGCTCTTGAACTTTTTAATTTTATATGTTTTTGATCTAAAAGAAAAGTTAAATACTTATGAAAAGTAACTAGTATAACAGTTTTTTTGTATTTTTAAAACAGATAATAATGCATATTTATAAGTGTACACAAAGTCTTGAATATGTACACACACACACACACACACACACACACACACATATATATATATATAAAAGTATATAAAGAATATATTATAGTTTTACATAGTTTTACAGGATGGCCACTTTGATCATTTTCAAATTTGAAAATGAAACTCCATGATTTTTCCATGACTTTTTTCATTACTTTTCCACAACTTTTTATAAACATTTTTTAAAAATCACAAAAGTAAAATATTCAGTACTTACCATGCACTTAACATTTGCCACTTGGTCAATTTCACTATCGGTAAACTTAACTTTAAACAACCCACTTAAACCAGCACATGATTTAAGTGAATAGTTCGAGTTTCTTCTGCCTTTCTCAGATGTTTCTTGCTTAACTCATAACTTATTACTGCTCCAATTCCCATGTTACTTAAACTGAAACTATACTAGAATATGAGTTGATCCTATGAAACAGGTTGTATTAGATTAAATGTTACTAGTAGCAGGTGACCTGACCTTACCATATTTGATTGATTGATACAAACTCAAACAAAATTTAAAAGTGTGCTTTAATTTTTTAAAATGATATTTTAATAAATACTAAAATTTAAAAAGGTTGACATGACCTGTTTGCAATAAAATAATAATCTATAGCTAACATTGCAAAATTATCTTTGTAAAAAAGACTTATACTAGACATACTAGTACTTTTCTTTGCAAATATCCTAAAAATATCACAAGTAGAAAAAAATAAAGATAATTTTAAAAAGTTCCATAAATTTTCCATACATTTCAATGGAAATTTCGGAATTCCATGACCAAATAAAAATCAATGACATTTCCATGAATCTATGACCAGTGGCCACCCTGTTTTTAACAAGAACATTGTTAAGTATTTGTTCATTGATAAAATATATTTACAATATAGGTATGTTATAGTTAAGATTGCAAGCATTTATGTAAGTAAAATATACCCTGAATTTCTTTTCCCTATTCCTTTGCTTGAATTGAATCCACCATGTGTGCAAATTAAATTATAGTACACGTATTTAAACATTTCAGGATAAGGTCTTTGGTCGACCTTGATCTTAGTATTAGCTGTTACCGTTAGCTTGCAACCATGTTTAACCATGGGTTGGAATGTTTTATTACAGTGTATTTCAACTGCTTGAAAAAATTCATCCCAGGATAAGAAAGTATCATGAACTTTTAGCGACATTATTTTGAACGAGAAAATTATCGCAAAATAAAAGCAAATCACATCAAAATTGTACAAGATTTAGCGCATGCGTACAAAGTAATGCGCTCCGAGCAGCTTATGGCTGGTTAGAGCGCATTGCGCTTCAAGTAGCA